TCATTTCCTCAGTTTTACTTATGGAACTTATTGCCTTCCTTTTCCTTTTCTTTTTTCCCAAGCATTTCCTTCTCCACTGTTCTACATATGGTTTTACGTTTTTTTTACTCTCTTATATTCTGACAATGTTTACTCTTCCTTAATACTATATTCCCTTATTTCTTTTTGGTCTTATCATCTTCCATCACTTAATTCTTTTTCACCTACTTAGCAATCTTTGAACACCTACTTATTCTTTTTTTCTTCCCTCTCTTATTACTTAATCAACTAATATTTTGAATAACTTGATATTTCACTTCAACTACTTCCCCTGTTTTCCATTCCTGAGCACAATCCTTTTACACTTTTTATATTTTGTCCTAAATACAGACTTCTTTAATCTTTTATATCATCCAATCTCATTATTATTTCTTAGATCTTTCATACATTCTGATTTAATTCCATTCTCTCTTCTGTTCTCCTTTGTTGCTTTACCTGTTTTAAACGTTATTGCCAGCGTTCATTATAACAAAAGTTAAGCATTGAACCCTCAAAATAACTGCCTTTGCTTATTATAAAGCAAATTAATACTTTTTTCATCTTTTATCTTCTCTCATTTTACCATATTGTTTTGCTCATGATCTTTTATTATTTTATTTCCCTTTAATCTGGCTTAATTCATATTCCTGACGTTGGATCATTAATTTGCTAGGATAGTATTGATATTTACTGTTATTTGTCCTTTTTTCTTTGTATTTTCTTGGAAAGTAGTCCTTATGCATTCACTATTTCATTTGTTTTATGATGATGTATACATGCATATAAAGATATATATATATATATATATATTTCTCTACCTATTTAGTATTAGTTTGGTCTTGGTAAGTTGCTTTACATGGCAATGATGATAGTAATTAATTTTGATGTATTGAGTTGTACATAATTTTTCCAGAAATTGCTATGAATATCCTTTTTCTAATTTGATTTGTAACTTACTCATTAATTTTCAATTGGATTTTATAAAGTTTTTGTCCTCTTTTTTTTTTTTTTTTTTTTTTTTTTTTTTTTTTTTTTTTTTTTAATGTTTTTAAAAATTGTTTTTTTTTTTTTTGATTTTGAGAATTTGGTTTTTATTATTTTGCTAAAAAAGTATCCATGGTTATATTAAATCTCTTTTTCCATTATTGACCTTTCCTTCTTCTATATTACCGTTCCTATTTAATGGCAAAAAAAAAAAACCCCCCTATTATCTTATTTTACTACTCTTATGATATTTATGGTTTTCCTACAATTCCATTTACTACTTTTTAGTCTAGTTTCTTTTGATTCCCAGGGAAACAGATTATAGTTTTCATTACTTTGTCAATATTAATCTTTTTTCCTCTCTCTCTCGTCCTTTTTGTTTTCTTTTGCACTTTTTTTTAATTCACTTAGTAATATTTGGACAACATTATATATTACTCCATTTACTCACTTTGTATCACGTAAAAATTATCATATGTGTGATAAATATAATATCTTATAGTGTTGTGCAGTTACCCTTAGCAGTAGCTACAAAGTTGCCCTTAGCAGGTAGCCACAACTTATTTATCACACAATGCTGAAAGTATTTCATATCTGAACCACTAGATACGAAACTTATTCACGGCGTTCTAACTTTTAGGCCGTTCAAATTTAAACTCAAACAGGGTCTCTTGAATCAATGTGGATGTTAGAACCATATCTAATCTTCATAATTCTAAGGACCTAACATATTGGGCTCGTAGGTGCCCGTCGGGACGTTTTGCTCGAGAAAAAACTATTAAGTTCTTTTTTTAAAGAAACCATTTTTCTTGAAAACATTCTTCACGAATATTTCTGTTGAAATGAGGTCTAAAATCATAGTACTTTACTGAAATCACATCTCGGGTTCTTTAATAAAGTTTTGTTAAAAACTAACACTGTGTTAGTTTCGTTCAGTTAAAACTGTGTAGTTTCTGAAATCTGCGTTTTACTGCATCTTAAAGTCAGATTTTGAAAATCTATTCTTAAAGTCAGATTTTAAAAATCTATTCTTCATGATATTTCTTCGTCTCGTCGAGATCTAAAATTATTGTTTTTCAAGAAAGGTGAAATTCAACATCTCAAGGTTTCGTTTGGCTGAAAACAGTGGCTGCCAACTTTTTTTCGAAACTGTTTTGGACAGCCTGTACCGTTTTTAAAAAATGGCTTAAAACATGCATTTAGATTTAAAACTGGGTTTTGTCACAGTCACAAAAAAAAAGTTCAAAACATCGAGGAGTATAAGTTTAAGTTTTGAAACACCAAAAAATCTCGCTCTAGGGTCCTCATTTTCGCATTCAAAGTAACCGGAAAATTTTTCCTCTAACCCAAAATAAGCAAACTTAAACTAAGCATAAACATACCACATAATGCTAATCAAACTAACATCGAAACACACAAAACTAACATAAAACTCACACACCCTTATTACAAACTTATTTCCTCAAGAACCACAAATTACATCCATAATTCACAACTTAAACTTTGTTAGAAAAATAGAGGAAGGGTTTAGACTTTTTACCCTTGAAGAAGATTCTTGGTTAGGCTCCTCCTAAAAACACTTTGATCACCTTCTTCTTCCTCTAAGTTTTTCTAATGACTTGGAACTAGAAGAGTGGAAAAATTTGAGAAGAGCATTTCTAAATCCTAAATTTTGCTAGAAACAAGAAAGAGGAGGTTTAGAGTTTTACCCTTGAAGAAAATCATTGGCTAGATACCTTCTAGAACACATTGGTCCTTTTCTTCTTCTTGAGATCCTAGACTAGTGCTTTGTGTTTAGAAGGATGAGTGAAATTTTTTTGAGAGGAAACGAGAGAGGTATGGCTAGTTTGGTGCTTTAAGAGTGAAGTGAAGTAAGCTTTTTTGTTAAATAGTTTATTTGATTCATCTCATCATGAAGTCTTCTAGTACACTCAACTAACCAAAATTTTTGCTTAAAACCCCTTAACATGGCCGGCCAAGTGAAGAAAGAGAGGAAAAAAAACTATCATGAGTACTCTTCATCTTCCACCATCACATCTCATCCAATCTAAACATTAACCTACCCCTTGTACTTTTGTCCCATCTCTTAAGTTTCCTTGGAAACTGTTAAAAATTATACTGGCTATAAGGAAGTACTTAGCTGACAGGAAATTTTAGTTTCTAACGGTTCATTTTCTACTACTTATTTATAGTTAAATATTAATCCCTTAGTACTTCGATATTAAATTCTTACTCACATAATATTTCGAACCGTTTCAAGTCTTGAAATTAATTCTAGACAGAACAAATTATAAATTTAACTTTTCTGCATTATATTCTGGGAATGACATTGCTACTGACAGTGTCAACTCCTGAGCTCATATTGTACCCTTCTACTATAAGTATTTTTCTCTTGATTTGAACCTAATTGTTCGGCAATTAAGGATTTTTTTTGTACGCTGCTAACATCGTTTTGTGCTTGGAGATTCTTGGAATTAAGATTCTCAAACTATATATGTACTGGAAATTCTTCCGCCTTAAATTACGGCGAGAATTTATCGATCGAATTTATTTAATCATAACACATGAACTTAGCATGAAATCTGCTACAGAATTTAGGAATATTGATATTAATTTTATAAATCCTTCAGTTACAATATATAGCATAATATTTTTCAGAAAAAATCATTAACTTGAATACATAAATTGTATTATTTAAATTCTGAGATTTTCTTGGTCATTACACATACAAAAAATAAAATTATTTTATAATGAGTTGCAAACGCGCCCACCATTTCTTGCTCTTTTTATGATTTTTCTTGGTTTTTTCTCTTCTTTGTGGAATGATAACTTAAAATTTGTCATTCAACATAGAATGATTCTGGAGCAATATCTCTTGATTAAGATATTTCAGGCCCTCCTAATTCTAGTATATTTTCTTGGCTAATTGTCTTTCAACATTACGAAAGTCGGAGATTTTCGTTTGAGATTTTTTTAGAAAATCTCATGGTGAAAGTAGTGGGGGAGAAAAGGAAGCCGGATGTTGAAGAAGATGATGAACTAGTGGATTGTGGATTTAAAAGTCTGATTTTCTTTTTGAAACTCTAAGGATTTGTTCAGTTGTATTTTTGAGTTATGGTAAATTTAAGTGTAGATGTTAAGTTGAATTTGAATTATAACTTGAGTTGAAGTTGTAACTTGAGTTTGTGTTTAGTTGTGTACATTTGAGTTATGATTTGAGATAAAAATCTTTTTGAATTTGTGTTTGGGTGGGTCAAAATTTAAGTTTGTATTTAGATAGTATTTTAATAAAAACTCAATGATGATGGAAAATTTTAATAGGGTATATAGGTAGAGTTTTATTCATCTCTTCATTGTGAACGCATAAAAAAAATCATCTTAATAGGAATTAACACGAAAAAATTATAGCGTTTTTAAAAGTAGAAAAATTATTGTTCATTAACTTGAGTTTGAATTTAAGAATTTGAGTTGTAGGAGAAATTTGAATTCAGATTTTAATTCTAAACTCAAATTAAAATTAAAATTAAAACTCAAATTTTATAAAAAAAATTTAAACTTTAATAAAATTATAACTTAAATTTAAATTTTTTTTGAGTTTGAGGATAAATAAATAAGTCCTAATTCATTCTAAAAATGAAGATAGAACGGAATAAATGAAGAGTAATTTGTGGGTTAAATCAATTTTAGGACAATTTCGTCTTTTCAATATCCTACAGGCGTCACGTGACTTCTCCACCTGTTATTATTTGGACGAAATTTAAAGAAATATTTTAATTGTATCAATTTAAAAAGTTGGAAGTCTTTTTGTCAAAATTAAAAAAATAGAGATTGCTCATTTATTTTGTTGATTCAAATTTATAATTTGAGTTAAAAAGTGATTTTATATAAAAAATTTTTATTGTAATAAAAAAATTAAATGTGACTGTTTTTAAAAGTTTTTTACGTAATAAAATTTAAATTCTAAAGCGAAATAAACGGCCTAAACTATCAATTATTAGAGGTTAGGGATATGTGTCAATTACCCTGTGCTTTCTGCGTCTATCACACTGGCATATCGCAGAAAAAATACGGATGCGATTTCTTCCGGTTTCCAAGCTCGTCAACTTCTCCAATGGCGAATCTGCCATCTTCGTCTTCTCCGCAATCACTTTCCTCAGCCTCCAATTCCGACAACTCCCCCGCCACTACTACTAAACCCACTTCTCACTCTTCTCTCTCCTAAACTCCAGGTTTCTCTCTCCGTCTCTACTCCACCTATATGTGTGTGTATATTTATATATATATATATATATATATATATATCTGTATATATGTGGTGTATGCATTTTTTCTTTTACGGGCTTTCTCTTCTTTGTTAGGTTGACGCTGGGGAAAACAATTTCGACGAGAAAACGCCTGAAGTAGCTACCAATTTTCAGTGAGTATTTTCTCTGAAATATTTCACCAAAATTTTATTCTTGCTGTGCTCCTAAAATGTTAGGTTTTCCAAATCTTTGCTGGTAACATGTGTTCCAATAATTTTCTTTCCGTTAATTGGGATCTTCATACCTTCGTTTAACAGTTCTTATGAGTAAAATTTAGTTAGAAAATTGTACACTTATCTTTGTGCACGTCTGTCTCTCCCTTTTTTGTTTTTTTATTGAACATTGCTCTGAAATTGAGGAAAAATTCTTATTTCTATAAAGCTTCTTTGCCATTAAAATGATTTTTTTTTTTATTTTAAGGACACTAGAAGAGTTCCCACCCTGATCTGGGGATAGCTCTATTTTGATTTCTGATGTTATTATCCTATAGTTCTGTGTTTTGCACTATGAGTGGCACTTTCTAGAAAATAGTAGAAATGAAGTCAAATTTTATATCTGAGAACTTTTCTTAGACCGTCTTTTATTATAGTACCAAGTTTTATATGTGGTCACAAGTTTTTTCCGCTAAAATTTGATTTGTTTTCTAGAAGTTGATTTTTTGTCATGGATCTTCTTACCTCTTCTAGTTTCTGCCACGAGACTTTCGAGTATCTGTCTCTACATAGTACATGTAGTCTTTGATTGGGTGTCTAAAAAGATATGAGAAATTCACTCATTTGTAATTTTGAGCCATTGGCCGGATGATTTACAGTTTCTGCATTTTTTCAGATACCTTTATCTTGCAAACCACATCGAGAAGTTCAAGATATATGAAGCTGACTATGCTCGTCGGTTGATGGCAAAATACTTCTCTAAGAAGAATCTCTATGGAGGTAGCAGTGATTTCCTTTTTTCGGTTTTATGCTTATTAGAGCTTAGTTTTCGGTGCTTTTATTTTGTTCCAAGAGCAACTTATTACTGAATTCTTTAGTCTAGTAAATGTCTGCTATTGCTTTTCTCTTGACCATCATTTTTTTTTCTGTCTCATATTTTACTAAAATGCTTTTGTTGGTAGAAAATTTTCTTCATAGTGATTTTCCCTGAAAACTACAGTATGCCATTAACTAAGTCTTGGCTTAATCACTAAAAGTTTGAAGGCTTGTGTTTGTAAGACAGTATCACATCTCTACTTATTTTAGTGCACGTTTTTAATCTATGGTGTTTTTGTTACCCCCTCTAATTAATCTTCTTTCTTGGTTTATTTCTCTCTTAAATTATGTCTTCTGCACTTGATGCATTGGTTTTCTCAGCTATATCATCAAATGTGGTAGCTCTTTCGTCATAACTAGTTCTTGCTGCTCACATGATTGTTGCATTTGTCTGTCGTCCTCGTAGGCAACGTATTTGATGAGAATGTTACAATAGACAATGAACTTATAAAGTCAAGCAGGTAAAGCACATTGAAGATCCTGTCAATCAACTGATAATTTATTTGGATTTACAGAAGCTAATCAAAGTTTGGCTCTGTTTCTGCGGATGGCCTTGTACGCGATCGTATGCAGACACAGTGCAGGCTTTTGAAGACCAGAACAGCAGTGAATCAGTCACTGTTAATGAGACCCCGTCTAACATCTCAAACGGAAAGCACCTTCCAAAGAAGAATGGTTAAGTAAAGTTCTCAAATTTTCTCCCCCATTATTGTAAAATGTTGTACAATAAATGCTATGATTGAGATAAGCCAGACTTAGGAAACGGACACGAGCTTACAATGGCCTCTACACACTTACAATGAACTTCAGCTGTCTACAGCTATTGATGACTTTGAACTTACGTCTATTATATACTACACAGCTTAATGATGAGAGAGATGTGAGGAAAAAAAAAATTTGAAATCAAACATTTGTAAGGAAATCTACATGAACTTATAGCCGAAGTTGAACATGATAACTAGACTACGTCTCAGTAAAGCACATATGTGGATTCATCATTCATGTATGAACCGGCTGGGAGGATTGTGATATATGCTCTTACTTTGGATACGAAACAAACTAGCAAGCAATCATTAGGTTTGTCCTTTTCAATATGTATAATGTTTCGTTTTATTTATTTGATAATTTGAACCGCTAGAATTTTATCGATATTTGTTAAACGGCCATACTTTTCATAATCTGATATGATTCGATGCTTCATAAAGGTATCTTATTGCCATAGTTTGATTCCATACCTAATCACAAATTTGGAACTTTTGTAGTAAGAACTGTTATTTTCTTATCAATAGGAACTATAATTTTAGTCATTAGATTAGTTTTTCAACCGTCTGATTTGTGAGTGGGAGCACTTATGTGCCATGCACTGTAAATTTTAATGTAGTCCTGCAAGGACGGACGGTTCAAAAACTAATCTACCTAATGATGGGAGTAAAATAGTAGTTCTACTGTATGAGTTCCTTTTTTTTTTGGTTGGTTCTGTAAGTTGTATGTTGCTTCTTTAACAACTGTTAAATGCTTTTGTTTTCATGTCCTTTAAATGAGGGGTCATTTCTCAGTGGATAATTTGGTACTCAAATACGGAGGAATATCTTTCCTAAGCTTAATGGACTATCGGGATGCAGTGATGGCTAGAGAAAAGTGAATCAAGCAAGCATTTTAGTGATTTTTTTTCGTCTGAGAGACGCCTTTATTGGATAGTAGAATTATGATGCAAAACTACACTACTAGAGCTACAAGGAATATTGTCGTGTTAGTTTTGCCTTTAGATGGCTTAAACTTTGGATGAACCAACAAGAGATTGCGTGTACTGCTTTGAAGGAAGGCAATCCGATGGTTTCTTTCTGATGTTTCTTTTTTTGATATGATTGCTTATTAAGTTATTGAAGAATTCCATTATTGTCTCATAAATGGAAAAGATTATCTATACCTGAGGTCGAAAAAATCTAGCTGAAGAACCATCTTGTTTTCTTGTTCTTGGCTTTACAATGTATTACTGAAATTTTGACAAAATTGAAAAGGAAAAGAAGGGAAACTACTTGAAAAAGTATACTATTAACGTTAGATAGAAGTTTAGTATACCGTGCAGTTTCATTTTGGCCGATAGATGATGAAAATAAATTATTTCAGCCGTCTATTTTCTTTTTTCTACTAAAAATTTACAATTGAATGGCTAATAGATTCTCTCTCTCTCTCTCTTCTTTTTTTCGGCATCATGCAGTGATTGAGATTTGAGCAACATACATATATATATATATATAATACATATATCAAATTTTTAGGTTGTACCGTTATTTTCACCTTAAAATTAAATGGCCTATTCATTGTAACAAAACTTTTATAAAATTGTAACGCATAAAGAAGCCAACAATATCGAAAGAAACGATTGAATATATGGGAAAGTAATCATGATGATAAGAATCTCAAACTATTAAGGGAGGAAGAGGAGGAGGCGGAATAAATAACACAATCATTAATAACTATTAATGATATAAATGAGCTTGTGTAACTAGTGAGCATATTTTCCCTTACACTGCATTGGCCTTGACTAAAAAAAAAAAAATCAATTTCAATGCCATAAGCTTTTCTCTCTATTATGATACAATTGAGCTTCTCATGTCCTGCAATGGCAAATCTGCCATCTTCGTCTTCTTCACAATCACTTTCTTCAGCCTCCAATTCCGACAACTCCCCCACCACAACTACTAAACCTACTTTTCACTCTTCTCTCTCTCCTAAACTCCAGGTTTTTCTCCCTGTGTCCACTCTATATATATATATATATATATATACACTTGCGGTCTATGCAGCTTTTCTTGTTTGGGACTTCTTTTCTTTGTTAAGTTGACGCTCGAGAAAACAATTTCGACGAGAAAAAGCATGAAGTAGCTACCAATTTCAGCCAGTATTTTCTCTAGAATATTTCACCAAAATTTTATTCGTATTGTGTTTCTAAATGTTAGGTCTTTTCAGTCTCTTTTAGGAAAATGTGATGCAATCTTTTCTTTTCCTTTAATTGGGTCTTGATAACAGTGCTTACGAGAAAAATTTGTGAGTCTAAACATTGAACCAGTTGAGAATTAAAGCATGTAGAACGTGAGTTACCTCGTGGTAGCATCAGTAGGCCGTAAGAATGTTGCTGGAAAATCGCTGGAGCTGATGGTTCAAATGAGCTCTCCTCCGTCTCCTCCGTCTCCCCCTCTACCACAATACTCCAAGCACTCACCCAATGATCACACCCCAAAATATATATATGCGTTAGCTTTCTTATTTTGGGCTCACATTTTAAATAGTCTATGGTACTTATTTTAATTGTGTTCGAGGGTTATTTAATTCGATAGACTGATAAAAATATTTTTGAGAGAGAGAGTATATAGACCTCAAACTAGTCAAAATGAGTGTTTGTTTCATTATGAACCGAAATTTGATATCATACATAATTAAATTCCGGAAGAAAGAGGGAAATAGGCCAAGACTTCAGATGAATTAAAATAAATAGGCCAATAGTTTACATAAGTTAATAAATAGGCCAAATTACTGTTTTCGTCCATAACTTATCTGGTTATGAACCATAACTTGACAAGTTATTGTCCATAATTGTCCATAACTTGTCTGGCTATGAACCATAACTTAACAAGTTTGTCCATAACTTATCTGGTTATGAATAATAACTTGACAAGTTACGGCCTATTAATTTTTATAACTAAAAATTGGCCTATATACTTTCTTAAGTTTTTCATATTGGCCTATTTTCTACTATTTCCCTTAAATTCCCGATAACACAATTGTCCAATAATATGTTTTAATTAATAATAGAGTGAATTATTGTGATTATAGAAGTTCACATAAAATTACCTTTGTACAATAACATGTTTTAAATTACCAATAGCACAATTGTCCAATAACATGTTTTAAATTACCTTAGCGCGCGCGCATATATATATATATATATATATATTGCCAAGATATTGAGGAAAAAATTCTTATTCCAATAAAGCTTCTTTATTTTTATAAGCAATCTACTAAAATGAAACATTTTTTTAATGACACAAGAAGAGTTCACCCTGAACTGAGGGTAGTTTTATTTTGAATTCTGATGTTATTATCCTATAGTTCCTTGTATGTTTCGTTTTGTATAACTGTAAACTTTCGGTGTTATCAAGTGGGTGCGCCAGTTTTTATTGAATTCAAAGAAATCTACAGTAGAAATAAAGTCAAATTTTATACTTGACAACTTTTCTTTAACATTCTGTTATTTGATTTTCTGTCATAGATCTTTTTACCTATTTTAGTTTCAGCCATGAGAATTTCGAGTGTCTTGATATAGTACATATTGTATTTGATTGTGTGTCTGAAAGAATATAAGGAGTTCTCACATTTGTAATTTTGAGTCATTGGCCGGATGATTTACAGTTTTGCATTTATTCAGTGATCTTTATCTTGCGAACCACATCGAGAAGTTCAAGAGATATGAAGCTGACTACACCCATAGGTTGATGGCAAAATACTTCTCTAAGAAGAATCTCTATGGAGGTAGCAGTGATTTCCTCCTTTTCTTTTATGCTTATTAGAGCTTAGTTTTCAATGCTTTTATTTGGCTCCGAGCAGCTTAAGTGACTTATTTCTAACTTCTTTAGACTCGTAAATGTCTGTCATTGCTTTTCTCTTGACAAATTTTTTTTTTTGTCTGTCTCATATTTTACTAAAATAGTTTAGTTAGTATTAAACTATTGTGTCCCATTAACCAAGTCTTGGCATAGTCACTGCCTAATTTTTTTTTTTTTTTTAAAGAAAATCCCCCGCTTTTAAGGCTTATGTTTGTACGACGGTATCACATCTCTACTTGTGTTTTATTGCATGTTCTTAATCAGCGTGTTTTTATCATCTCTTCTAATTAATCTTCTTTCTTGGTTAATTAGTTGTGTTATCTCTCTCTTAAATTATATTACTATTGATGGGGTGGTTCTTTGATATAGCATCAAATGTAATAGCATGTAGCTCTTTCGTCGTAATTAATTCTTGTTGTTCACATGATTGTTGTGTTTGTATGTCGCTCTTGTAGGCAACATATTTGACGAGAATATTACAATAGACAACGAACTTATAAAGTCAAGCAGGCGGTGCGATTGGCTGGGTTCGCAAAGTAGGCGGCGCGATTGGGAGGCGGCTTGGCTGGGTTTGTAAGGTGCAGCAGGGTCGCGGGTGGGGATGCAGATGGACGGTTAGAGAGATTGTAATATGTCTTGATCAAGATCACAAGTTATTTGAGTGTTAAAATATGAAAAACATGTGCTAAAGGGACTTCAAAAGCACTGCAGCGGGTTTATAAACGCTGCAGCGGACAAACTGCACAAAACTGTGCAGTTTGGTTTGGCCAATATTTCAGCTACAGCTGAAATGTTTGTGCTGCAGCAGAAAACCTCGCGCTGCAGTGCCCTTTTTCAGGCCTCTCGGGTCCGTTTGCGCACTGCAGCGGGAAAACACCTGCTGCAGCAGAAATTCTATAGAAAAACAATATTTTCATAAGGTTATGTGATCTGAAACGTCTCGAATCATTACACCCATTGGTGATATGTTTTTATACATATCTACATACCAATTAGCAATAGATATAACTATTATAATATGTGTATTAATCTATGAAAAGATACATTTACATTAAAAAGGTACTTTTATGTGAATGGTTGTAATGTTTAAAGAGGATGCATTCATTCATGAAATGGCACCTTTACCTTTATTAATTTTCCAGAAAATTTACAGACTTAATTCAATGTTTTGGAACTCAATATTATTGCTAGATATTGTGTTCAAGGGTTTGTTGTATCTTAGGGATAATTTGCCATTAAAACTCATCAGCAAACTTTGAGAAGTGAGGGCAAATAAAACCTTAGAGGAAAGTATTCCTATAAGCCTCAAACCCTAAATTGTTTTACTGCATTCTTTTCACCCTCTACACTCAAATTCTCCAACAATCTTTAAGGTTTTAGCTTGCTGCAATGGAGGTTGAAAACAAAATGGCGTATTTCCTCAATCC